CTTCAGCCAAGGTAACAGAAGTTTTTTCATTGCTTTAAGGTTCGATATGAGTTGTTTGCCTTCAACTCAAGTGTGGATCCTTTGAATCCAGCCACTATGGTTTGTAAACTCAAGAATCCAACCACTGTGATTTATCAATAAACTTATCATTTTATGATATGTTAATCATTCCCTCAACACTGTCAAATCATCCACTAAGGCTGCATTACTATTACTATTAATCTCCTCATCGTTCCTATCACCCATCTCCTCCCATTTATGACTGTATGACTGAAACTGCGTTGCTTGTATCTTTACAATTTATATTGATTGTTTCCTAGTATGATTTGATTGTTTATTTGTACCCTGTGATTATCATTCAGTGTTGTACCTTATGATTTGTGACCAATGTATCTTTTCTTTTATGTACACTGAGAGCTTCTGCACCAAAGACAAATTCCTTGTGTGACCAATCACACTTGGCCAATAAATTATTCTATTCTATTCTATTCTATTCTATTCTATTCTATTCTATTCTACTCTACTCTACTCTACTTTACTACTCTACTACTCTACTCTACTTTACACTACACATGCTAATGCTAATGCTAATACTATATTATACTATACTATACTGTATAGTTAAACGAGCCATGAAAAAACTGCAAATTTCTACTAAGTCTGGAGACCTTGGAAAGGACTGGAACAACTCGCAATCTCCAGAATTTGTCAAGATTTTACATACATGCTAAAGAAAATGGATTCTGAGGCTGCTCCCAGCCTGTACAGAATATTTTGACCATATGAAATGCCTCCAGTGACACTTAGACCAAACCTTTAACCTTGCTACCATGTTTCCCCGGAAATAAGGCAGGTTCTTATTTTATTTTGACCCCCCAAATAAGCACTTGGCCTTATTTTTGGGGAGGTCTTATGATTTTTGAGGTTCATGAGGCAGCAAGCGTGGTCACCTCATGGTTGCTGCTGTGTTGCAATATTTTTTGGGGGGGCTATTTTCAGGGGAGGGCTTATTTTAGCACATGAGCTCAAAAGCCCGATTGGGCTTATTATCCGGGGAGGTCTTATTTTCGGGAAAACAAATTACTAACAGCAGTTTTCTTTCTAAGATTCAGAAGGTATCATGGTTGATATGGTTGATAGAGATTAGCCTTGCATTTAAGTTCATATTTTTGTTAGATAGAGTACCAGAAAAAATTATTATAAGGTGAATTTGTATTTCATGTTGCATGTTTTGAGGGCAGCAAGAATTGTATTTGTACAGCATTGGGGAAATGAGGAAACACCGAGAGAAAAAGATGTAATTAAAAAGATATTAGATTGCGCAGAAATGGATAGACTGACATTAAGGATAAAAGAAGCGGAAGATACGGAGTTCGTTCAAATATGGGATTTCTTTTATAAATGGTTGGGTAACCGAGGTAGAAATTAGGAGCTGGGAAAACATTATTATATAAGCAATTGACCCAGACAACATACTGTTCACAAAGCACTGGTGTATGTTAAATGAAAATGCACAAATAAACTATTTAAAAAAACTCAAAGGAAAATGTTTCCAGTGGAACTCCATGCCTGAGCCCAGAGATTATTCCAGGAGTATCCCCTCCCCCTGATAAAATCCTATGTATATTTTCTTGGGTTTGGGGTTTTTGTGCACAAGGTTATTGCTTTGGGAAATACATTGTGGCTCTCAACCACTTGCAAATCAGAAAAACCTCTTCTCAAATGGGCTTTCTCTTAAGGGGTTTTTTCAAAATTATTGCAGGTGCACAGGCAGATAAAACATCGACTGACTGATCTCTTAAAACTATTTAATGTGCCATCTAATATCAGGAATAAAAAAGTTTCTAGCACATTAGCCCAACAGAGTGACTGACTCACCATCACCAGGTTTCAAAGCCCTTTTGGTTTAAGCATCAACACTGTGGGGTCTTGAGGGCAAAATATATATATATACAGCAAATTCAGAATTTGGTTGGGATCTGTTATCCCTGGGAATGTTGTTCCAAAGGTGCTTTTCTCAAGAGGCATCTGGACTTCCTGGGGTTTTTTTTTCCTTTGGAGATTCGTAATTTAATTTGTAATTTAATAAGTTTATATGCTGCCTAATCCCGTAGAACTCCAGGCGGCTTACAAATACAAGATGTTTCGCCTCTCATCCAGGAAGCTTCTTCAGTTCGGACTGGATGGTGGGGAATGGAAGGATCCAGTCCGAACTGAAGAAGCTTCTTGGAGGAGAAGTGAAACCTCTTTTTAAAAAAATCCAAAAAGTTCAGTTGCCTCTTGAAAAAAGCAACTCCAGGAAAACCTCGGACCGGAATGACTGACAATCTGCATAGAATCCTGGATGGTCCTCTTATCTGTGGAAGACTGCCAGGGATCCACCTAAAGGGAGTGCGGGGGAACAGGATTCCTTCCCAGCTGTCTAAAACTGACGGAGCAGCAAAGCAGATATACTTTCTAGAGTCTATTAACTTCAGGTTGTATACCATGAGAACGTGGTAGCGTCCTGCTCTCTGCTGGAACCCTGCAGTCGGTTCAGATTTGCAGGTATGGCTCCGTGCCCCAATTAGCGGAGGGATGCCTTCTGCTGAAGTAGGATGGCGGGCAATTCATAGGAGGGGGGGGCATGAGCCCAACCTTCTTTCCTCCCCCCTCCCAATTCCCCTTTCAGCTATGAGTGAACTAACAATAGTTCTTCCCCCCCCCCACCCCTCCGGCTTCCCATCTTGGTTCCGTTCTTAAATGCCTCTCCCTACTCCCAGATTCCCCCTCCCCGTCCCCGAGCTCTCCCAGAGGGGCTCACCTGTCACAAGGCGGGGGGACCCCAGCCGCTCCCCCCCATCAGCACCTGCGCCGGGACCAGCGGCTTCTTCATGCTCTATTTCTTCTGCTCTCTGACAGCCTGTTTACCGCTCCATCCCGCCCCCCTCGCTCTCCCCCCCCCCCCAACCCCCCCCCCCCCCCCCCGTCTCTCTCTCTCCCTCTCTCTCTCTGCTGGGAGCCGGTCCTCTCCCCGCGCTTGTCAACTATAAATAATCCTCTCTCGCGCGCGCGCCCAGGAACTTGCCAAGTTTTGCTGAGCTGCCGTTCTCCGCTTCAGCATCCCAGCCCGGCTACCTCTTGTCCGCTACCTGCTGCTTCGGAATTGCAAGCCAAGTTGAAAAGCAACATCCCTGCCTTCTTGCTTTTGTTTCTCGAAGGGCCTGTGTTGTTTATTTATGTATTTATCACGTTTATGTGGCTGCCCCATCTCACAAAAAGCGACTCTGGGTGGCATTCCTACTGTTCTTAGGAGAGCTTTCAAATCTCGATCCTGCAATTTGGGATTTGATCTGCTCCATCCTAGATCTATTGGTGGGAGAGATGATAGAGGAGGATGGGAGGAGGAGGAGGAAAAGAAGAAGAAGAAAATAAGGAGGAGGAGGAGGAAGATAATGATAAAGAAGGAGGAGGAGGAAGAAGATGATGATAAAGAGGAGGAGGAAGAGGAAGAAAAAGGAGGAGGAGGAGGAGGAAAAGAAGAAGAAAAGAAGAAAGAAAAAGAAGAAGAAGAAGAAGAAGAAGAAGAAGAAGAAGAAGAAGAAGAACTAGAAGGAGGAGGAGGAGAAAAAGAAAAGAAGAAGAAGAAGAAGGGGGAGGAGGAGGAGGAAGAAGAAGAAGATAATGATAAAGAAGGAGGAGGAGGAGGAAGATAATGATAAAGGAGGAGAAAGAAGATGATGATAAAGAGGGGGAGGAAGAGGAAGAAAAAGGAGGAGGAGGAGGAGGAAAAGAAGAAGAAAAGAAGAAAGAAAAAGAAGAAGAAGAACTAGAAGAAGGAGGAGGAGGAGAAAAAGAGAAGAAGAAGAAGAAGAAGAGGGAGGAGGAGGAAGAAGAAGAAGAAACAGAAGAAGATAATGATAAAGAAGGAGGAGGAGGAGGAAGAAGATGATAAAGAAGAGGAGGGGGAGGAAGAGGAAGAAAAAGGAGGAGGAGGAGGAAGAAGAAGATGATGAAGAGGAGGGGGAGGAAGAGGAAGAAAAAGGAGGAGGAGGAGGAA